ATTGTGTTGCTTGATGCTTAACTTCAAACAAACAAAACACATCTACTGTGATGTGATGCATAGAGCAGTGTGTAGGGGAGGGGAGTTCTCTAGTTTGTTGTGGTTTTGACTGGCTTATAGTTAGATTATGGGAAAAAAGGAACAAATAGGTCCCCGCTTCTTGTTCATTTTGAAATAATCAGCACCAAAACCAGATGTTGTGAATATGGCAATACCAAAACATTTAGATGTTAACTCGACGAGTTGTTAGTCAAACTTTGTCACGTCATGAGCGTTAGGAAATATATATTTTGGGTGAAGTTGACGAATGAACAATTTCTAAAGAGAAAGCATTAAACTCAAAATTATATATAGTTTGTTTGCTTGTTTGTTGACTTTCGCGCAAAACTGCTCGAGCCCCGAGTCAATGGTATCTGCGCTAGCTGTTTCTAATTTTTAGATTGTAGACCAGAAGAAGCGCAGCTAACAACAACACCTATCCGCCAAATCTTCGGCTATTCTTTACCAACGAATAGTGGAATTGACCGTTACATTACAACAACGCCACGGCTGAAAGGGCGAGTATGTTCGGCGAAGGATTTCGATCCGTCAACGCGCAGGTTGCGAGTCGAGCGCTCTGATCACCAGGTTATGCCAAATGGACCCCGTTGGCTTTTTAAATATATATGTTTTAAAACTATTTATTCACTAAATTGGGTCCATGACGTACAATAACGCATGTTCCTCACAAACACACAAGAAAATCATCAACATCACAACTAATCTCATTGATTGCTGTCATAGTTTGCGTAGAAAATAAGCGATTTCACTCAGTTGTTTATAGTGAATTGTAACAGACAAAAATTTTAAATTAAACAATACGATGCAATAAGTACAGAGATATACATGGCACTCAAGGAAATAACCCTGGATTTGAAGGGAATCCTTAAAACTGCGCGCTTTAAAATTGACGTCGAAATCTCGATATTTGTCAAAAATAAGAACAAACTTTGCGACAGAATCTGTTTACCAGCCAGGCCTGGCCTAATGGTCTGAGCGTCGCGATCTGTGGGTTGCGGTTTCATATACCGTCACAGAACATCCCCGCCCTTTCAGTCGTGGGGGCGTTATACTGTAACGGTCAATTCCACTGTTCTTTGCTGAAAGAGTAACCCAAGAGTTGGTGGTGGGTGACGTTGACAATCTGCTTTCATATAGTCTTATCACTTAAAAATTAGGGACCTCTTTCTCAGAGAGCCTTCGAGTAGCTTTTCGCGAAATTCAACAAACAAACCATGTTTGCCAGCTTCTTTTCCCGTGGAACAAATAAATAACAAGAGCAACTGGAGAGATTCCATATCCTCACCCCGCCGTTTCTTTTCGAGATTGCATGCGTTTATACTGAACAGCGTCAAATTTCACCTTCGAAAACTCAGAAAATCCTTCTAAGATCCGGATCATTTTTGTCGTATTATGAGGAGTCTCAACCTTAATGTGCCCATGAAATTTGGTACAAATCTGATCACGCTTTACAGAGCTATTAACCTAAAACCGCGAAAATGCCCCATCTCCCCATTTATTAAAATAAGAAGAAGAAGGAAGAAAATAGGATTTTAAATTGATGCGGACTTGGATCCGAACCATATTGGGAAAGGACTGTCCCATACTGACTTCCAATCTTGTGTAAAATTTTCATGTACATCGGTCTATCAGTTTTCGAGATACGAGCGCTTGTAATACCCTCGCCATCGAATAGTAAATGTATTACTTGAACCACGGAGCATGACGACATAAAAACCATATTTTTAAATAACACGATAAAAATTACTTTTTTTTATTACCCTGGAAATACATTTTATTATCCTGATCTGAACATAAACTTTTAATAACCTGCTACAGCTGTAATTTCCGAGGTGAAATGTTGACGCGTTACTTTATACTTGGTTTATATTTGTTATTGCTTCTACTTGTATGAAAGTAAATAATTCCTCGTCCTGTGGGTGACGTCAGAAAAGAACTGAGATGAAATACCAAGTAATCTTTGTACCGTGTCGGATATACTAGAACATGGACTGACCCTTGACCTTTTTAGTTCACTGGAAACGAAAGTCTCCTGATCGTATTTCGCAACTCGGGGGGATTTCTAGAAAACTTTAGAAGGTCACAGTTTTCAAGTAAAATAAAAACGCACTTGGATTCATACAAACATATTTAGAATAACGATTTAATCATTAGGCATTTATTTATTTGATTTTCTCTTCGCCGGTTTCTTAACATCATCGTCATTTTTTTTTACTAGTAAATTTGACAACAGTTACAAAAATTGGCGCTTAAAATTTGGTTTTAACTATTAAAACAAGACTGAACTGCGAAAATTACAATATTAAAAAACTCGAACACGACAGATCATCTTAAATTGAAACTATGCTACTTTGTCAAATGCAACAGAAGCAAATTTCATATTCATGGGTACACAAAATGTCTCGTGTGTAAAGAACGGTAGGTCGTATAGATGTGTGGTTGCTATGAGCTTACTTTTTTAAATTCGAGTTTTAATCAACATTCACCTGGTGGTTAGGGCGCTCGACTCGCAATCTGAGGGTCGCGGGTTCAAATCCTCGTCATCGAACATGCTCGACTTTTTGATCAATCCCAAGAGTTAACGGTGGGGGGTGTTGACTAGCTGTCTTCCCTCTAGTCAATCACTGATAAATTGGGGACGGCTAACGCGGATAGCTCTCGAATAGCTTTGCAAGAAATTCGAAACAAATAAAGAAATTAGTCCATTAAGTGGACTTATTGTGGTCAGACTTTGAAACCGAGAGTTCATGGTTCGCGACCAATTGTCAAAAAACTGTAGGGCTATGTGTGTTCTATAAGAGTGATATATATATATATATATATATATTCTACTATTCAGTCAGAAAAAAGTAACATAAGAGTTAGCGGTGGGTGCTCTTTACCAGCTGCCTGTAGGTTAAATATCAGGAATGGCTATGCGCAAATAGAATTTTATAAAGCTTTGCGTAGAAATTCTGAAACAACTGGAACATTTATTCATAAGCCTTCTTGGTAGAAAGAAGTTTTTATTTTATTACCGCTACTAGATAAAGAATATGTGTTTTATATCTCGTTTACAAATAATAGGAAGTACAAATACCTAATAATAGGAAGTATAAGTAGGAAGTACAAGTACCTAATAATAGGAAGTACAAGTGCCTGATAATAGGAAGTACAAGTGCCTACCATCAATAAATACGTTATTCTATTTATTTCATGACAAAAGATTTTGATGCGAAATTTCAAAGGTGAAAACTTTGGAATGTAGGGTTAGAAAATTAAGTGAAGTTGTAACCTGTGATGAAAAATTGTTTGTTTAAAAAATTTAAAAAGACGGAAATGTTTACTTCCTTGAGTTGACTAGTGTAGGGATGTTGTCGCACCAGTGTTGTAGTTGAAAATTTCCAGCATTTTTATCCATAACAAGTATAACAATATTTGTTTTGAAAAAGTTTCATGGAAGTATTCTTCCACGTAGTTAACATCCTTACAAAACAGGACGCAGTCAGCTCCACTTTTTAGAAAAGGTAACATATTAGTGGCCATTCGAGAGAGCTTGCCCAGCCAAACCTTTGTAATGTCCTTCTCCTAGTGTGCTGGCTGTATCCAACTGGAGAGGCGATGCACAGGTTTGTACTGGTCAGTATAAGCAGGGAATATATCTCTTCCAAAATATAATATGTAGATGATCTCTGACGTAGGTAACCGTGAAATATGGGATACCACATTAAGACCCTGGTCTCACACACACAAAAAAGTGGTATTTACACAGTTCTTGTGTTTTCTCTCTATTGCTACAGCCACAAAGTTATTAACATGCACTTGAGACTATCCAGTCGAAAGTAAAACAGTCAGACTTTCCGTAAGTTTGAATATCAACAGATCTAAAATACTGTGTAGAAATGAAGATTTTATTGTCTAGCGCCATACGTGTGTTTGTTTCACTTTTTTTTATTTGTACTTTTCAAGGGATAGAGAATTGATAATAGTATATTTAAGGAAACAATAGGATTATATGGGGTTTGTAAGCAATTTATATTCCAATATTTCTTTAATATTAGTTTTATCAATAGTAGTGACTAAAATGTGTAATGTATATATGAGAATAAGTTTACCTTTTTTTTTCACTTTTTATCAGGGTTGGCACGTATAAGAGGCTTGGAAAGGCTTAGCCTCCGTAAATAAACTGTCCCTAAAAGCATTATTTTCATCATTGAATTTCTGTAGTGCAAATTTATGTATAGAAGACATATTAATACTAGAAATAAACGATCTTTATAACACCAAAATGTTTTTATTTAATTAGACACTCAACGTTTCACTTCACAGCTTCTTCAGGAACGTTCAATAAAACACAAATCGAAACTGACACTTTGGTGTTATAAGGTCGTTTATTCCTATTATTATTATTTTTATCAACTCAAAAATTTCATAGTTTATGTTGACTGACACAAATAGAGTAAAAATTGGTGTATGCGTGAACTGATTCTTCTCAACTGCGCATTTACTGTCACGTGACACAATAGCCTACCCGAACAAAATTCTCACGCAACGCCTCTTATTTGGATTATTTTGCATTGTTAAATTAGTATATGAAATCAAAGTTTCAACAGCAAATCGACTGCTGAACACGTTTTTGTTTTGTTTTTTTATCTAGCTGAGAGCTCGGTCTACGTATTAATATCAAGAGATCACCAGCTCACCTTCTGGAAGAATGAGGCCAAATTTGAAAATGCAATTGTTTATAAAAG